AATATTCAAACAACGATTACATCACAAGTATTACAAGTATTGCAAAACTGACGACAAATGAGAGCCAAAAATGCAGTGTTTTATGCATTGAAGGCATTGAGAGAGACCTCTATTGAGGCACACATTGAGTCAGTTTTGAATGTTTTGGCTCTAAATGTGTGAACAAATCAAGTGATCACTCATTCAGTGATCCATTACTTCATCCACTCTTTGATTGTGACCATAGGTTGGGATCAATTGGCGGACAATATGTTGCGAAGCAGTTGTCCGACACAACGACATAAGCGAAAGTCAGACACAACTGAAGCGACGGATCAGTTGTCGAGATTTCGCAAACGATTTTCCACGCCTTCCTCCGGATCCAGAAGACCGTTGAGTCCATCCAAAAGAGTCAATATTAACATCACTTTCGGCCAAAACATCGCTCAGACCGTTGACCAGAAGTTGGCTCACGAAGAGTACATCCGAAAGATATTGAGTAAACCATTTGTTATACCAATCAAAGGATACAAAGGTTTGTCACTTTGGGATCAAATGAAATGCATTGATGTCTGAATTGAGCGCCAATCTTGTGTTACATTATCTTTAAGGCGGTTCTTATCGATCACTTGGCGTACGTCTGAGCGGAGGTCGGCGTCCACTACACGATCCCGAAGAAGAGAATGCATTGATTCTATGGTGTCCTCCAGTGATGACCAAAGACGAGGCGCTGAAAGTGAAGCCAAGCGAACAGAAGGTTCACGTGGTTATGGATCCGATTCTGACGGACGTTCTTCGGCCCCATCAGAGGGAAGGCGTGAAATTCATGTGGGATTGTGTGACAGGAGTGCAGATTGAAGGCAGTTATGGCTGTATAATGGCTGATGAGATGGGTTTAGGAAAGACTCTTCAGTGCGTTTCACTCGTCTATACTCTTCTGAAACAAAGTCCCGATTGTAAGCCAACCATCGATAAGGTGGTGATCGTCGCCCCGAGCAGTCTCGTCAAGAACTGGTACAACGAGTTCAACAAATGGTTGGCCAATAGAGTGAACGCTATGGCCATCGATGGCGGATCCAAAGCCGAGATCGACAACAAATTGCTGTCATTTATTAACACAATTAAAGGCAGGCGTTGTGTGAATCCGGTTCTCATCATATCCTACGAGACGTTTCGATTGCACGCAAATGTCTTGCATTCGGGAGAGATTGGACTCGTTATCTGCGATGAGGGACATCGGCTCAAGAATCAGGACAACCAAACCTATCACGCGTTAAACCAAATCAATGCCAAACGCCGTATACTTTTGTCGGGAACTCCCATTCAAAACGATTTACTCGAATACTTCAGTTTAGTTCAGTTCGTGAACGAAGGCATTCTGGGAACCGCTCAGGAGTTTAAGAAGAAGTACGAGAACCCGATCCTCAGGGGTAGGGACGCGGCCGCCACTGATGCTGACGTCGCCATCGCTAAGGGAAGGCTAGAAGAGTTGATCACAATTGTCAACAAATGTATGATAAGAAGAACGGCCGCCATTTTGTCCAAGTATTTGCCCGTAAAATACGAGCAAATAGTGTGCTGTGAATTAACTCCACTGCAGAAGACTTTGTATAACTTTTTCCTCAAATCCAAAGCCGTGGCGCGCGCTGTGAGGAACGCCGACGGCGACCGCACCGGTGCCAAAGGGGGCGGCAATGCGTCCCTCATTGCCATTACTTTCCTGAAGAAGCTCTGCAATAGTCCGCAATTGGCTTACGATATGTGCAAAGAGCCGAAGAATGAATTGGATTCACTCTTAAGCTTATTTCCGGCCGACTTTGGGTCACTTAATAGCAAACAAGTTATGCCTAATATTTCAGGAAAGATGAGAGTTTTGGACACACTTTTGGCTTTCATTAAGAGTCAAACGACTGATAAAGTAGTCTTAGTCTCCAATTATACGCAAACATTAGATCTGTTTGAGCGTCTCTGTCGTACCCGAAGCTATGGTTTTGTCCGTTTGGACGGTTCGATGTCTATTAAAAAGCGCGGAAAAGTTGTGGAAAATTTCAATAATGTCAACAATTCTGACTTCATATTCATGTTAAGCAGTAAAGCCGGCGGCTGTGGTCTCAATCTGATTGGCGCTAATCGTCTGGTGATGTACGACCCGGACTGGAATCCGGCCAATGATGGCCAGGCTATGGCTCGGGTCTGGCGAGACGGCCAAAGAAAGCCGTGCTTTATATACCGATTACTGTCCACCGGAACCATCGAAGAGAAGATTTTTCAGAGACAAACCCATAAGAAAGCTCTGAGCAGTTGTGTTGTGGACAACGAGGAGAACGTCGAAAGACATTTCACTCTTTCAGAACTGAAAGAACTGTTTCGTTACGAAGAAGACGTTAAGAGCGATACTCACCGTAAGCTTAACTGTAAGAACTGTTTGAATGACATTCCCATACGAAACCCTCCGCCCGACGCCGACTGCAATCGCCAACTCTCGGAATGGTTTCACTGTCCGGACAAACGACAAGTCGTTGATCTCATACTGAAGAAGGCTTGGGATCAGGGAATCACTTATTGCTTTCATCAGAAATCTCACGAACAAAAAGGTATTCCATAAGAAAATATTATCCACAATAATGTTTGTATATTTTTATATTTAACTCAATGCAAACATCACTTTATATACAGTATTGATATAAATGTCCTATATTTGCATTTCTGTATTAATAACTTATATTTTTTTTATTAATTTTGCAAAATTTATTAACAATTAATAACTTTGATTTATTAATTAAATAGAAATAAATATAATGCAATTTTGTATTTATAAATTACTTTTTATTAAAAATTATTTTGTAAAAAAATTTATTATATTATTAATATATTAATTAAGAATTAATTGCAAACTCTGGCAAATATTTTTCTACTAAATACACATTTCTATGATTTTCGATTAATATATTAATGCAAAAACGGATGCCTAACAACATATTGCATAAAATAAAGCAAAAAATACAGTAAAAATGTTTTTTACTTTTATTTGCTTGAAATGAGTTTCATTTAATTAGTATCGTTTTGGATGAGCCGTAAGGATACCCACAACTACTACACACTCCATCGCTTTCTCTCATTCTCTATGTTATATACTTATCATTAGTCGATATAATTATCAAAATATCCTCTTTCCTTACCTTTTGGTTATTTCTTATACTTTCTGTTAGTTATAGAAAAATATATTTAAACATTAATTGAAAATATTTTTATATTTAATGATTAACTCAACGATAAAGACTGCAGTCTGTACTCAAGTATTGTATTCATCTTTAATTTAATTTTTCTGAATTAATAACAATTGTAAAAATCATTAATAAATTTGTTATACAGTGTTCAGTAAGTTATGAGATTTTTAACAATTTTTGTACAATATATTCGCAACAAATTTTAAGTTAGTACAAAATGAGATAATAATATCACTTTTACATAAATAATAATTTAAACCAAATTTAAATATTAAAACTAATTTATACCTAATATTAATTAAATAAACTTATGTTTAAATTACGATAAAATTAGTAATAAACAAATAATAATATGAATGAATACTTTGATAATTGACTCTTTGCTATGAATTAATGAAAAGAGATTTTATGTCTC